GAGCGAGCAACATGTCCAGGGGCTTGAGCTACGCTGACTAAACAGGGCCAGGAATGAAAAGGAAACATCTCTCAGCATCTTCCAGACTGGCGCCACTTACGCCTGACTGATGATGGCCACTGTGTCTGTGTGTCTGGGGGGCGGGGGTTGTAGTAAGAGGCCCTCACATTCAGTGTCGCGGGTAGACAGGTAACAGGACGTACCAGTTAAGCAGAAATATGGTCTCAAAATGAGGGGTCTGTAACCTTGACATCCCACTCCTAAGAATTTATCCTACAGAGACAACTGTCACAAAAGCACGAATTCACAGAAGACAGGGTGCCCATCACAGCCCAGAGCAGAACCCTCCTAGATCAGCAGACACAGCGACCCTGGACAGCAGCCCCCGGCTGCTCTTAGAGCCGGATGGAGCTGGACGGACAGAATGCACAACGGAGCCCCACACACTCTTCTAGTAGAACGACGTCATCGGCTGCCTAGGAAGGAAGAGGCGTCAGAGCTTGAACTGGCCCAGGAGCAGCTAGAAGGGGTGATGGGTTCCTATTCTGACAGTGCGCGGAGTTTGGGGCCTCCTAACCCTCTCCGGCCCTTGCTAGGCTGTTCTAGTAGATGAGTGTGTTCTAACTAAGGGTCTGAGCGACAGCTCAGGGGTGGAACGTGTGTCGGGTGTGCTGGAGCCCCGGTCCTCATCCTCGGCACTGCCAAATAACTCCTGGGAGAAAACTACAAGGACAAAGGGAAACCAATGGGAGTCTCTCGAGTGAGTAAAATTCTGTGTCTCTGGTCCAGGCTGTATCATCATCATCATCATCACCTTCTTCTCTTTTTAGATTGTTAATTTCTTAATTATGTGTATGGGGGGAGGAGATGTGCGTGTGCGTGTGTGTGTTTAGCTGCCCGCAGAGCTGAGAAGGCACCAGATTCCCTGAAGCTAGAGTCATGGGTGGTTATGAACTGTGTTGTTGGGAAGCAAACTAGGAACAGTAAGTGCTCTTAACCAGAGAGCCAAACCTCCAGCCTGTAACTTCTGACAAGGTCTGGGGAGCAGCATCCTGGTAGGGCTGGAATTCAGTGACTACCCACCCTTCAGTGAATTCCTGGAGAGAGCCACAGGCTCTGAGCGAATCTTAACACACAGTCATGGTTTTACTGGGACCACAGGAGAGGCTGGTGGCGTCTGTAAAGGGCGGAAACACCCGCTGTAGACAGAACAAGCTGAGCCCCGAACAGTCACCTGAGCTGTCTCGACCCTGCCTCCTCTCTGAGGCTTCTTTGTGGGAGCCAGTGCCACACTCGGGCACCTTCTGGTGGCCGCCACCCACGTGACAGGCTCTTTGTAGGTTTGTCACCCTGGGGGACCACTGAACAGTCAGCCCTGATCTATGCCAAGAATTCTGGACACTGGCCCTAAAGATGGCTTGCCCACTGGGCCCTACCAAAACAAACAAACAAACAAACAAACAAACAAACAAACAAACAAACAAACACATTCCTGGCTGAGAAGCCATTCAGGACCCTCTGCTGGGCCAGCTCAGCCCCCCAGACTATGTGCCTTTTTCTAATATGCATTGTCAAATGGATCACCTGTTTGTCCGGGCAGAACCTTCTTCCCCTGCGGAAGAACCTTCTGTCAAGGTCGCCAGTGACCTTCACTGGTGAGGTTTCATTCTGAGAGGACCTGCTGGCAGGGGGTCCTCCCTCCCTCCTGGAAACCCCTTCTCCATTGGCAACAGACACTGCTCTGCTGTGGCTGACCCCAGGGCTTCTTCCTGTTCTCTGATCTCTAGTTTGTTTTGTTCCCCCTCCCCCCAAGACAGGTTTTCTCTGTGCAGCCCTCTGACTGTCCTGTAGACCAGGCTGGCCTTGAACTCACAGAGATCCACCTGCCTCTGCCTCCCAAGTGCTGGGATTAAAGGCGTGCACCACCACCACCCAGCCTCTAGTTTGTTTTTTAATTAAAACATCCAACAACAAAAACAAACTTATGTGTTTAAGTGTTAACTTGGATGGACGGATGTACATCACATGCATGCTTGGTGCCCCTGGAGGCCGGCAGAGGGCGTCAGATCCCCAGAACAGAACTAGAGTTACAGCAGTTGTGTTTTGTTTTTGATATAGCATATACCATGTAGCTCAGGCTAACCTTGAACTCATGGTTCTCCTGACTCAGTTTTTTATTTTATTTTATTTTACAATATAATTTAATTCTACATATCAGCCACGGATTCCTTTGTTCTCTCCCCTCCCGCCCCCCTCCCCTTTCCCCCAGACCACCCCCCATTCCCATGTCCTCCAGGACAAAGCCTCCCCTGAGGATTGAGATCAACCTGGTAGACTCAGTCCAGGCAGGTCCAGTCCCCTCCTCCCAGGCTGAGCCAAGCATCCCTGCATAAGCCCCAGGTTTCAAACAGCCAACTCATGCAACGAGCCTGACTCAGTTTTCTAAGTGCTTGGAT